TTCCAATGGGAGATTAAAATTTATTTTAAATATAAAATGTTATTTAGGAACCTTATTCAAAATTTTTTCTTTTTTTATTTAAATAATATCACATGCACTAACATTAAAGCCATATCATTAATAATAGATAGAAGAAGGGAATTAAAGATAGAAAGAATAAAGAAAGAACATATATTCAAGCTGTAGGTATTATAAATATTTGTGTTGTAGAAATGACTTTTTTTATTTTTTAAAATTTCTTATTTTTTAATTTTTATTTTGACACATTAATATTAATAGGAATATACGAAAATATGTTTATATTTTGTTGCATGCTAACCCAATATTTTCCATTCTATAAATATTCTTCGATTTATCCACTATCGATGCCATTTCCTGTGCGTTTTGCTTGGCATAACTGAAATATTCGCAGTCGCGTTTGCAGCGACCGCATTTGAAATATGCGCTAATTGAATGTGAAAACAAAATGCGAGTTGGAACTACAGGACAGGACAGACAGGACAAGACATCGAGACAGCGTGGAGCTAAGCAGGCAGACTGACTGGCCAAAAGGAGCCAAAGAAAGCGAAATGGCCAAAGAGCAATGCATTTTGCGTTGTTTGGTTTCTAATTAAAATACCAAAAAGCCGAAAACAAAACTAAGCTCAATTGAGCTGAACGAGTCGAAAACCTGGGCCATTTCGTACCTTGAGAGCTCCAGAGGAACTGCCTGCCTTGTGTGTACATACGTGTATGTGCATATGTGCGTGTGTGTGTGTGTGAGTGTGTGTGTGCGTAGATTTCGAACAAAACGAAATGGCCGCGTTGTGCGTTGTTAATGAAGCAGAAAATGCCTGGAATTTTCGCTTGATTGTGGCTGTCGCGACGCGACGATCGACGCGGCGGCTTTTTGAGTTGCGGACTGAGTGTTTTATTTAGTTATTGAACGGCTAAGCCCAGGCCCAGAACAGCTAGCCAGAAGAGCGACAAGGCGGTCGCCCTTTTTGGTTGAAGAAGCGAAAATTTAGCAGCATTTTTGGCGCTTTTGTTGCAAGTTGTGCGCTGCATGTTGGTGGCTTGTTGTTGTTGTTTTTTTAATTAACGCGCGCTACGTTTTGAACATTTGAAGGGTCCCGAGTGCACATGATGGGCAAATAACTCATTGGAATTATGGAAGAAGCGGATGGCAAAAGCAAACGTCCACCCCAGTCGGCAGGCACCCAGGCCGCGGCAAAACTTGTCTGGGCCAGAACAGAACGTACATAAACTTTATCCGTCTATAATCTAAATATGTTTCGCTATAGCGCTGCGCTGTGCGCTGCTTTTCGTTGTTGTCGTGGCTGTTGCAACAATTTGCTGCAAATTGAAAGCCAATTACGTTGTTTGCAGCATGCCACGGCAATGGCAAGGCAAACTGGCAAAATTGCAGCCACAGCCAGAGGCAGAGGTAGAGGCAGAGGTAGAGCCAGAGGTAAAGGCTGAGGCAGAGGAAGAGACAGAGACGGTTGGCGCTGCCTTGGCCGTTCGCTCTCAGCAGACGACATAAATATCAAATACAGGTCCATAAATTTGAAACCAATTAGCCAACTTAAATTGATAATAGTTGCAACAAGCGGCTGCCACTGCCGCTAAGGCTGAGGCTGCTGGCGATCGGCAGCCCGAATTGCTGTCCTAGCATTTGCCTACCAGCTACAGGAAGCCAAAATCTCATGTAGCCTTCGGCCGGATTGGCCGCTAATGGCAGTGCCATTTGTTGACATACGTCGCTCGTGTTGACTTGGCAATTTTCGTCGCTGTCGTCGTTGCTGGGGCAATTGTTGTCCATATTCGTATGGAGCAGCAGCGTCATATGTCTTGTCTGCTGGTGTCTGCGCTGTCTGTGCCCTGCGCTCATGTCGTGCCTGTCGTGTCGTTCTAATCACAATTGTAGCTGCCTCCTTCGGCTGCCGGCCGTGCGTTAACCATGCGACTTTTTATGGCGCTTTTATGCAAAACAACTTAATTTCGAGCCTCGTAACGTTTGCAACAATGCAGCGCGTAAAATATGCACTGCTAGCCAGCCAGCCAGACAGCCAGCCAGCCAGCCAGCCAGTCAGCCGGGCAGCCAGTCGACGGGCGAAACGAAAGACTTAGGCAACAAACTTGCCAATGTACAAATGTGCGCTATTTGCTGTGTTGCGAGTAGCTGTTATAGAAAATTATCTTAAACTGATTTGATATATATTCAAATAGGCGATGTGCGACACATGTTGATGTTGTTGCATGCAACAATTGCAGCATTTGTTGCACTCGCCTAGCGCCAGACACGCAGCCGGTAGCTAGAGCTGGAGCTCTCTAGCGAAACGGATAACATCGCTTACAGTAAACGTTTAGTTGTATTTTAATTAAAATATTTTCCATTTCCCTCGCTGGCAGACAAAAGCGATTAAGTGGTCGGGCAAGGAGCCGGATTGAGATCGAGCCATGTCCGTGTTGTTGGACAGGTGGCATTTATAAACAGTATTAAAAGCTAATTTGGGTGGGAATTGATTGGCATACATAGATCTGTTTCTGGAAAGAGGCACATGCAGATAATATAATAACAGGCTTTTGCCGCATTTGTATCAGTTAAACTTACTGCGAAATTTCCCCAGTAATAAATCGAAATGCTCTTAAAATATAGCCCATCGGTCAGAGGCAGCGCTTTATAAATGTCAGACGGGACATTAATGTAGCGCATTTATCTAATTAGACAAGCGTTTTAAGTCCAAGCTTGAGCCTCGCTCACTTCGCCAGCAGCAACTGGCTGAACGTCTCACGCCAAATAAATTAATCAGCTAATTGATGAGCATAAATTAACCGTATGCAAATAAGCCAATGGGCCAAATGGCGCGATCTTCGGCGCGCTCGAGGCGAGCCAGTTGGCTTATTGATGGCCAAACTGAATTAAATTGGGCAAATGAGCAGCGGTCAATATTTGTCAGGCCATGGACCACCCACTGGCTTGGCCAATGGATCTCCACCTCCTGTTCACCGTCTGCAGAAAGCCAACTATACAACTCAATTAATAACAATTTCTCAGAACAATAATGCAAACTGCGAGTCCGTTTGGCACCCAAAAATTAGATTATCTCTGGGCAACTGCAATTCATTCCCGGGACTCGCTATCGGTCGCTGTCATCGTCGCTTCGGTGTTGCGGAATTAGTTGCTCGGCGCAGGTAAAGGCACAGGCACCGGCACAGGCACAAGCACAGGCTCCGGTTCAGGTTCAGGCTCAAACTGAACTTTGGGCGCGCGAGGTCGTGGTAGCCTCATGTTGCTTCAGTTGCTTTAATTGAAAACCGTACGAAATGGAAAATGGACTTTCGAGAAGGCGAGCGGGCAGGCGGGATGTAAGTTGGTTGCTGTGGAGCAGCTCACTAAATTAGCCAACCGACTTTTTCTAATTTTGCGGCTGAGAGCGCGTCGAGTGCATTTCAGGGCCCGTGACGCTGGCATTTGGCAATTTATGGCAGGCCGAAGCGGTGTCGAAAATAGCGCCAACAACAGGCCAACAGCCAAGCACAAGGATGATGATGATGACGGCGACGACGATACGAGGCTGATGCTGATAGCTTTTTGCAAGTTACTTTCTAATAATGCAGCGAAGACAACAGCAACATCAGCAACAACAGCAACAACAACAAAGGCGATGGGCTGATGTGAATGTGGCAGGGGTTGTGGATATGGATGTGGATGCATTGCACACGAAAGTCATAAGCGCAGCCAAGGCAATTAAGTTCAAGCGACAAGTTGCGCTGCTGGAAGCCAGGATAGCGGCGGGCCAGAGCAGGTGGCGGTGGCGGCATTGCTGGTGCTCTGGTGCTAGTGGTGCTTGCAGCTGCAGCAACATGTTTATGGCTCGAAACGGATTGCACGTAATGGGATTTACGCTGAGCGACAGCGATAGCCTGCGACTGCGACTGTTTCAGCAACAGCTTCAGCTATGGCTAAAGCTTCAGTTACAGCGCCTGCGCCTGCGCCTCAATAAAGCCGATCGCATTACCAATTAGGCGTGCACACTTGGCTAAACAGCCGCCATGTTCGCCACTTGGCTCCTCGGCAAGTGGAAATTGAATTAGTTGTCGCTGCATATGCGTGACTCGGCTCCAATCGGGCCTGCCCTGGTCCGGTCCGGTCTGGTCCGGCCTGGTCTGGACTCGACTTAGACACAGATTGAGACTGGGTGTCGCTGTACACAAACGTATGTGTGTGTATCTGTGTAAACATTTTTTACACTTTGCCACATTCCTCTGCCGCGCGCATAAATCAAGCCACTGCTCGCCTGTCAATCCGCAACGGCAGCATTGATAGCCTCGTCGTCGTCGTCGTCGTCGTCGTCGTCGTCGTCGTCGTCGTCGTCGTCATGGCCAACGTTGCTCTTGGCAAGTGCTCGACCAACACAGCTGGCCACATGCGGCAGTGTGCCAGTTTCCCATTGCAAATTATGGCGCAATGGCTTTAAATCCTGTTTCTGTTGTTCTTTTTATTTTGCCTTACAGCAGTCCTCACCATGTGAAGACGCTCCAAACTCTCGTCCAAACTTAAATTTATTCAACAGGCAAATGGTCTTGACTCTTGAATCCAGTGCAAGAAGCATTTTGGGTCACCAAAAATTGAAGAAAATTTCACTCTAGTAGGATAATATTGATTATAGCAATCTATAATTAATGGTACTAACCAAAAATGTTTATTTCCCCTTGAATTTCAGCTGGTTCCGGTTGCCAAGCGAAGATTAATGTATATCCTAGTTTGTTTTGACATCTTTGATTTTCGATTGCACGGGTCCAGGCGCAACGAAGTGCATATTATTATCTTTTTAAATTGACCTTATCTTTAATTGGGTAAAAATAAAGTGTTTGGTGTTTTAGGCTAAAACGTGAGCGGATTGGCTGAATGCATTTGCGAAAAGTATGTTGTTCACTTGATTTAATATATTTGCACAATATTCATTCGATTTTTTGCTCACCTACATAGTTTGTTTACATATTCAATTTATACAAATAAAATCCGAAGGCGCTTTTTGAAAAAATATATTTAATTCCATGGCGCCAAAATAGCTGCTTCTCAATGCTCACAAGAGCTCGTTGCTATGAAATTCGAATAACGCTGTTCAACACTTGAGCGGGCACTACAAATTTTGATATGGTCACACCGCAAACAGCTGTTAGCAGTTTATGTGAAATAATTAATAACAATAAAATATCTAAGCATAAAACTAAATGAAATAAATTTAAACAATCTGCGACAGTTTATTAGGTAAACTGGAAAGGGATTAGTTGATAAATCGTGGGATTTCTTCTGAATATCTACTGTTAACAACCGCCTGAGTCAAGCAACAAAAAACAAACAACAAAAAAATAGCAAGTGAAGATGTGGAACTTAAAACATTTTGCTGCAAATTTGTATCGACAATATGAGCTTGTTACATGCATTAATATGTTTGAGCCCTGGGAGAAGAAGTTGATTAGTAAGTAATGACATATCAGCATATTTCAACCCAATAAAATTGTTCAATTGTACGCAGATGGATTCGTCTTGCTGATGTTTGTGCTCTTGATATTCTCAAGCTGCGTCTACTTGCCCAGCTATATGGACACGCTGCTCGATGTAATAACCCCAACAAGTGGATCCAACAAAGTGCCAGATATGGTATATGTGCCGCAAAGAATCAGCAGCATTTAAGAACCCAAAAAAACTCTCTAATACACTTACAACCGCGATTTATATATGTATATGCACATAGTACTTGCCCAATTGGTAGAAAACTAGAATTTAATGAAAACATTTTGTGATTTACTTTAACCTTATCAAAATCTGTAAATAATTGAACGTGCCAATGTAGATTCTATTTGCCCATTTAAAGACTTCTTTTCTGTACTCCAAGCACATAAATATGGCCTCAACAACGCGCACTGCCGATATGTTGAAGAACAGACTAATCAGGCCTCCGAAAGAAACTGAATTGGAGAAGTTAACATGTAATTAAGTAAACTCTTAATTCACCGACTTACTCAATAAGTCCAGAGGTGTTTTAGCCACGCGACGCACATAGCGCTGTGTGGGTAGTTCCACCAGTGCCACATGTATATCGGAGACATCCTTTTCGGCATCCTGCTTGCTGCAAGTAACATACATATTTATTATCAAATCACACTTTTTGGAAAGTTTTCGCCTCATACTCATCTGCTGTATTGTAGATTATGTTGTACTCGGGCTCCTCGCAGGAGCTCATGCAATCACAAGACTTGCGCTCTGCGACCAGCCTTTCATGGATGTGCGTCAAACAGATTAAGCCACGAAAGTCGCACATAGGCAGGGAATTCTTGCTCGGCACAGCCATAAAGTGGCTGGTGCAATTGCAGTACAGCAAATGCAGCGCAACGGTGCACTCCACAATGCAGCCGGAGTAGCTGTAGAACTCGTAAATTCCTATGCGGTCCTCAACATGCTCGTGACTATAACGACATCGTCGCTGCTCATGGCTCAGCTCCTCAACATTTTCGTGATTGTACACCTCGATGACGTTCAGTATGAGCTCCTTGTTGTTACCCAAGAGCACTGTCTCGCGTATCATGCCCTCGGAGAAGTGAAAGGGCACGTCGATGGGCGCATGGACATGCACCTGAATGTCGGCGGTGGCAAGAAATTTAAGATGCCCAGCTCCGGTCATGCGATTGTTTTTGTACTGCACCTGCGCTACTTTGCGCGCCTGGTGCGAGTTGAAGGAGTAACAGACCCCATACTCTGTGAATATGGGTAAAAATTGTTCGCAGCACTCGAAGATCTGATTGAGGTAGCGGCACTCCACAATAAGCTCATGGCATTTGGTGCGAAACTGCAAACATATGTGATTAGATTAATTAAGAGAGCTTGGAGAACTCGTATCCTACCACATCTAGCAGCAGTGTAAAGTTGTCTGGACAGTACAACTGATGACAGTTCTCGCAGCTGATGCAGATGCCCCTGAAGAATGCGATCTCGCTGACGAAGTCATCGATGTGCATGTCGTGCTCCATGCCAAAGTAAGTGTCGCTCAGGTCCCAAATCTTTTCCGAGTTGTACAGCTCGCAGACGGTTATGGCTGGAAACGAAGTATTCCAATTGAGGCTGTAATTTAGAATGAGTTAGGTTCTAATACAGTCCCTCGTCTAAAACTTACTAAATGGTATCCAAGTTAAAGGAAACAGATGAGGAAAAGTAACTCTCAATCAACGACCTGGATACGGACCCTATAAACGGCAACGTGTTATAAAATGTGGCCAAATAAAGTGACCTATTTCGCGTAAATGGGTTATTCTATATTATGTAAGAGTTAGCTCTATGTTGTAATTTACCCTTTCAGCGCCAGCGACAAAAAAATAATCCAGTTCATTGTCTGTGAAACGTTTGCTACCAAAGGCAAAACATTTATGCGGCGCATGTCGCTTTTTGACGGATTTTTTTTTGGTGGTTGACCACACAATGCAACACAAAGGAAGCGATTTTCTCAGATAACATCTACACATTGTTCCAAATTCAAATAAACTGAATAAACTTAACAGTGTATATTTTTCTCAGTTGTTATTCAGTGCAGCCTGAATTGGATTAATAGTTTCTTTTAACTGTTTAATAGATACAAAATGTGTGCGTATAATTTCTAATTTCTTTCTACGTTTTTTATTTCTTTTATGGACTGCAATTGATTCCTATGGAAATTAAGATTAATTTGTGACACGTCGTGCTACCGGAGTTCCCCTCGTGATAAACGACGAATAATGTAAAACTAGTGTCTGAGCTTTTTCGCATTTAATTAAAATGCGATTAAATAATTGCTAAACCTTATTTTTGCATTGCTTAGAGACTGGGTGCGACTAGAACCGCAAACAATAAAAGACGTTAATTAAAGCATTCTGAAGCATTTATTCTGATGATTCACTACGATAAAATCGAAACTGAATCAGAATGAAATTTCACATAGAAATTTCACAAGCTGGAAGTTATTAAAGAGGGCAACACACTTGCAAGGTGAGCTGAGGGGTATTACCAACATACGCTCCATATGAATCATAAAAGTTTACGATACTGCGACAATAAATATTCTTCCTTCTTTCTACGTTTTAGGGCTAAAATGCAAATATATAAATTAGCGCTGCGGATAGTTGAACACACCCAGCTTTACAATTCTAGACTGAATTTTATATATGTAAAGATCAGGACTTAGATCAAAATTGGTCACGCATTCCTTGAATTTGTATTGTTTCTGAAAATTAACTATATCTTAGAAACAATTATTTGAATTTGAAAAAGATTGAATTTCAGTAGAACTTATAGCGAATCAAACTTCTTATAACTCATAGTTGAATCTAACAATTCCGATTATAGCGCATTCTGCTGATCAACAGTGAATCATGACGCCAACTTGATATTAGCAAGACAAGGCGTGAGGTATGTTATCTTATGAATATTTATATGTACTTACGTAGCGACTATACTAAAAATATACAGTAGCTGCATCGCCAAGAATATGGCTATAATTTACAAGATTTTTGTTCAATACTTTGGATTCGCTTTTGATGCTGATCAAAGAAATAAAAAGGTTTTCGGGATACCGGCAAAACACCAATTCAGGTCTAATCTGGTCCAACGAGAAAGTCGCATATAGTTACGAATTTCCACTTATGTAATAAGCGTATTGAAACTGAGTTTAAATATCTAATGAAAATATTATGGCTATTATACAAAATCCTTAATTTTCGGGTTTTCTAAGGTGTTCTTCTCTTTCTTTGGAAGGGTATATAGTGTGTCGTAGTTAAACTGCTATATTATTTCACATATTTCAGCAACTATTTTCCTTGCCCACATTTTGCTTATATATCTGTTGCTCTTGCTGCATTTGTATCTTTCCCGATTAGGCGCATATGTTGGGAAGAGTGCAGTTATGTGCATATATACTTTTTATATTAAAACCTTCCCTTAGTCCATCTGGGCTCGAGTAATCTCTTCACCCAAAAAAATAATAATAACCATCAAAAGAATTCATTTTCACTTTGCATATATCATATATTTTACAAGACTACAAACTAAAGTCAACAATCTTGAATTGTGACTATTGCAATGGCATTGAGAATTAAACTAAGACATAAATTATGATGAGAATAAGATGCAAACACGTAAGTCAGATTGGGGTCTTCAATATAGATTCTGGGTGATCCAGGGTAACATGTCCAAGACTGACGCGAATACGCCCGGCTGATTCTGTCGCTGGCCACAACGTCTGCCACCATAGGAGACAATGCCGTACTGGACAAAGCGTATCGTATCCTTGAAAGAATTGCGGAAGAAGAGAGGACCACCAGAGTCACCAGGGCAGGTATGTACAACGCCTTCTCCAGCAGCGCAAATGTGATTCTGGTTGACGTGAGCATCATCATAGAAATTGCGGCAAACATTATGATTCTGTCGCTTTACCACCGCCTTGAGTAGCACGGAGGATGGCTCGTTATTCTCGGTGCGACCCCAGCCAGAGATAAAGAAGCTCTGGTCATAAGATATATCCTGCGATTTACGATCAATCGGCAGGCAGATGGGCTTAATGTGAGTTTTGAACTGAACGGGGCGATCAAGTTTGATGAGGGCTATATCATTGTTGATTGAATTATAGTTAGGATGAGGGCGTACATCTTCTAATCCGAACTCCTCGTAGGGTGGCAAGCAGTGCTCAACGCGACCGCCTAGAAATTCACAATCCTTTTCGGTGCCCAGATTATGCTCGCCCAAGCGCACTCCAATGCTGTCGAGAAAGAATATAAGCAGTTAGTTAAAGGTGCGTGGCAGAATAGAGAGCGTGGACTTACAGCTTTTTGTTCCTGGTCACACAGTGGGCTGCGGTCAGAACAAAGCGATCGGCAATCAAGCTGCCGCCGCAAAGGAAAGGCCGTTCGGAGGTCTCATACTTAAGCAGTGCCAGCCAAGGGAATTCCCCGAGTCTTGCAATCTCTCCTCCGCTTAGCTTCGTGTTTGCCTTCTTGCCGCACTCCGTGACAGAGTTCAGTAACTCCATGCCACGCGAATCGATGCGCTTAAGATCGCCAGTTGCTTGGCCTGTGCTTTGCGGGATTTCAGTTGTTGTGGGATTTCGTGCCGAAAACGTATTCCGATTGTCGTTACCTCCGCTCTGAGCAGTGATCACTGCGGCGCTGGGGCAGCACAAATGAAAGACCTGAGAGGCGAATGATTATTGAGTGCTGGGCCAGTCTGGTTAATTTGTAAAGTGCAATTACCGAACGCTGGCCAATATTGCAGGCCATTTGTCTTAGCTGATTCTGTATCAAACGTGGAATATTCCGGCCATATGTGGACTGCAGATTCCGCACAAACTGACATTGCTGCGCAGGCACACAATAACCAAACTCACCGATGGGAGTGTAACAACTGTTGTCTGCCTCTAAAATGAAAACAAACGTTTACATTTACGATGCGATTAATTGATTGATCAACACATAACTCGTTTGACTGGTTAAATATAAATGTTGAAAGATGCGCGCAGCCGATATCAAATAAACATAATAGAAATATACGCTTGGTAGTCGTATATTACTCAATTATTCAGTTGCCAATTCTAGCCACTTACGAGTCGAGACCAGCGTTGGTACGGCCAATAGCACTAGGCTCAAGACGCCCATAAAAAGCTGCATCCTGTCCAAGTCTCTTGATGATTCCCGTAATTAAAAACTCGCTGCGATCTCGGTTCTTGATCTTTAGCTCAACTCGCGCTCTTAACTGTGAATGAGGCACACGCCGACGTGTGCCGCGCTTTTGTACCCTCAGCTCGCGTGCTGGGTTAGCTGCTTATTAAAATGCATTAATGATAATTTACCCACCTTTGAGATAATGTTTTTCTCAACTGGCCAACAGGTTTGCCGCTAGCGTCAATGCAGCACGTGTGACCGGTGCCAAGACTAGAACGTATCATGGATTTGTTTTTACCCACAATGTCACTGATTTAGTAGATTGGCGTTATGTGGTGCAGGTGAGCGTCGGGCAAGCGATTAAATTCCAGGAAACCCCCCAGTGACCGCCCACTCTGTCTCACTCTCACTCTCCCGCTTCTCGCTGTCTGTCGCACATTTTTAATCCCAGTCGCTTCGCTCTCTGATGCGTTGGGAAAGTAAAGGTAGGTAAGTACGCCAGATGGGGTACTTTTTTTTTCAACGGGTTTGCTATTTTTCTAATTGCTATCACAGCTTCCACAGTCGTTTGCCCACGCCCATGCAGCAGTGATCTGGCTAATTGCACGGGTTGCCCAAACTTCTTTTCGGAAATCCCACGAATCTAAATCCCCGCAAATTGTACACATTTTTCTTTGTTTTTATGTCATCTCTGGGGTAATGAAATATCCAGCACTTGTAGCTTTTTGAAATCCCCGAAAGTTTGATGAACGAGATATGCGTAGGTGTACATACATACATACAAATAATTATGTAGGTAGATTTATGAATCATATATATGAATAATATTGCGGATGTCGCGTATTTCATATAGCTGTTTGTTGACAATAAAGTCGTAAATCTGTTTAAAGTAATTTTAATCCAGCGCCAGAATATTCATTCAACTAGTATATTAACCTATTCTAACCGCAAAGCTTAATACTTCATACACAACTACAAATACCGGGACTTAAAATTTTCCAGACATAGACATACCCATGTTGTTGATCGTGATAAGCCCAGTAACTCGCAATAATCAAATTAGACAAGCTTATTAGTTAAAAGCGAGTAACTACAACAATAAATTCACAGTCAATTAGTCAATTTACAGTCACAGATAATATCTTTTCATTATTATGAAATCTTGTTTATTAGTTGATGCAATATCAAAAGGGCTTCTTTTATCGTATATACGTATTAACGAGTCGGATTTTTCGACAGATTCTGGAGAATGAAAAAAAAAAAAATTGGTTACATGAAAGTTAAATATTAACAAAATTTTATGATTTTCCTCGAGTCACCCAGTATGTAGGTGTGTAAATATTTTTATTTGAAAATATGATTGTTATGTCAGTGTTGCAAATGCTGAGAAGTGCTGCGATCTATCGAAGACACAAACGTATTTGCAAACGCTGCGAAATGAATGAAGCTTTTAGCGGAGAAAACTACCCTATCATAAAGGTTTTTGATAAATTAAAGTCATATAATATATATCTATAAAACCTCTTATCATATTAGAAAAATATGTAGTAAGGTTATACATATTTTCTTATATTTACTTGAATATGTATCTAAAATGTATGTCAAGTTTAAAGATGAAGCATATTTTATGTTTTAAGCGACGCATAGTAATAAGCAAACAAATATATATTTATAAAAAATAAATACAACATATTTGACTAGATAA